GGAGAAGATGAACATGCTTTGAAGGTGACTCATGAAGAGATCTATTGTGGAAGAGGAAGAGGAAGAGGAAGAGCTGGTTTTCGAGGAGGCCGGGGATACGGCAGAGGCAGGGGTAGCCAATCGAGGAATAAGGAAACAGTTGAGTGTTACAAGTGTCATAAGCTTGGACACTTTCAGTACGAATACCAAGCAAATTATGAAAATTTGGATGAATCAGAAGAGATGGTGCTATTGGCGTATACCGATACGCTTGGAGGTGATCGAGATGACATATGGTTTATTGACTCTGGATGCAGCAACCACATGTGTGGTGATTCATCTCTCTTCTTTGATTTAGAATAGGGTTTCAACAAGGTGGTAAGATTGGGGAATTATGCAAGCATGAATGTTGTTGGAAAGGGAAGTGTTCGGTTGACTGTAAAAGGAGTGAATCACCTTGTACGGGATGTGTATTACGTACCGGGGTTGAAAAATAATCTTCTCAGTGTTGGGCAGCTGCAAGAAAGGGGGTTGGTTGTACTGATGCAGTCAAATATGTGCCGGATTTATCACCACAGAAAGGGATTGATTTTCAAAACCACCATGGCTGCCAATCGAATGTTTGTGTTGCTATCGAACACTCGATCAGTCAAAAAGGAAAGAGATGAAGAGTGTCTCCAAGTAATCACTCAAGACGTGGCTCATTTATGGCATCGAAGATTCGGTCATCTAAGCTACAAAGGATTGAAGACTTTGCAAGCAAAGGGCATAATGAGAGGCTTGCCAACTTTTTCCAAGGGTGAGATTACGTGCAGTGATTGTTTGAAAGGGAAACAACATAGAGATGTAATCCCAAAGAAAAGTACATGGAGAGAATCATCAAAGTTGGAGCTCGTTCACACTGATATTTGCGGCCCAATGTCTCCAATTTCAGAGGGTAGCAAGAGGTATTTTATTTGCTTCATTGATGACTATAGTAGGAAGTCATGGGTGTATTTTCTTACTTTTAAGTCAGATGCATTCACTTACTTTAAGTTATTTAAAGCTCTTGTGGAAAAAGAAACTGGTTTTCCCATTAAATGTCTCAGAACAGATCCTGGGGGTGAATTCACATCAAATGAGTTCAAAGAATATTGTGAAACGAATGGGATAAAGAGGCAATTAACTGCTGCATATACGCCGCAGCATAATGGAGTTGCTGAGCGAAAAAACAGAACCGTGATGAATATGGTGAGGAGCTTATTGGTTGAGAAGAATGTTCCAAGAAAACTCTGGGCAGAAGCAGTGAATTGGGCATTTTATGTTCTTAATAGATGTCCAACATCATCGGTGAAAGAAATGACGCCAGAAGAAGCTTGGTGTGGGGTGAAACCTTCAGCCGAGCACTTGAGAGTCTTTGGTTGTATGGCACATGCACATGTACCGGATGCTCGGAGAATAAAGCTTGAGGATAAGAGCCATTGTTGTGTTCTTTTAGGGGTAAGCGAAGAATCAAAGTCATATCAGCTATATAATCCTATCTCTAAGAAGATTATAATTAGTCGGGATGTCATCTTCGAAGAAGAAGAACAATGGAACTGGGAGAGGATCTCTGAAGATGACAGTAGGTTTGATCTGGAATGGGAAGATGGCAATGATGAAGAGGTGGAGGATTCCGGTGAAGAGGTGGAGGATCCCGTCAATGGTAGTGAAGAAGAAAATGTAGCTTCTCCGGTGAAGGACGAATCCAGTGATGGCAATAAAGAAGATGAAGCAACTCCTCCGATGACACCCCGAGTTAGAAGAGCACCAGCATATTTGAATGATTTTGTCTCTGGTGATGGTCTTTCAGATGAAGGGGAAGAGATACAAAATCACATAGCCTTGTTTGCTAGTGCTGTTCATTTTGATCCAATTTCGTTTGAAGAAGCAGTAAAGGAGGAGAAATGGAGATCAGCCATGGATGCCAAAATGAGATCGATTGAGAAGAATGAAACATGGGATCTTATTGAGCTGCCTAAAGGAGCTAAAAGAATAGGAGTCAAATGGGTGTACAAAACAAAATTTAATGAGCTCGGAGAAGTGGATAAACGCAAGGCTCGTTTGGTCGCAAAAGGGTTTGCTCAAGAATACAGAGTTGATTATGAAGAAGTATATGCTCCTGTAGCTCACATGGACACGGTTCGGATGATTTTAGCACTTGCAGCACAAAGAAGATGGTGTGTGTTTCAGCTGGACGTGAAATCAGCTTTCCTTCACGGGAAGTTAACTGAGAACGTGTACGTGGAGCAGCCAAGAGGTTATGAAATAAAGAGTGAGGAACATAAGGTGTATAAGCTCAACAAAGCTTTGTACAGACTCAAGCAGGCACCACGAGCATGGTTCAGCCGGATTGAATCATATTTCAGAAAGGAAGGTTTTGGGAAGGAGGACAGCGAGCAAACTTTGTTTACGAAAGTCAACAAACAAGGTAAACATTTAATCATTAGCTTGTATGTTGATGATTTAATTTATACCGGAGATGATGAGAATATGATGGTTGAAATCAAAGAGTCCATGATGAAGGAATTTGATATGACGGACTTGGGTAAGATGAAGTATTTTCTTGGTATTGAGGTAGTTCAATTTGATGGTGGTATATTCATCAGTCAGGCGAAGTACGTGATGGAAGTGTTGAGACGTTTTGGAATGGAGCATAGCAACTCCGTTGAAAATCCAATGGTTCCAGGATTCAAAATCTCCAAAGATGAAAATGGTATTGAGATGGATGGTTCATTCTTCAAGCAGCTGATTGGGAGCATGATGTACTTGACCGCTACGAGACCGGATATAATGTATGCAGTAAGCTTATTAAGTAGGTATATGTCAAGGCCTACAGAACTTCATCATTCGACAGCCAAGAGAATTCTACGTTACTTGCAAGGTACATCAACGTTCGGCATTCTTTACAGAAGGGAAGGAAGTCATGAGTTGATTGGTTTTACTGACAGCGATTATGCTGGATCAGTGGAAGATAGAAGAAGCACCTCAGGTTATGTTTTTATGCTAAGTGGAGCAGCTGTGACTTGGTCTTCTCGAAAGCAACCGATCGTAACACTAAGCACAACCGAAGCTGAATTTATTGCAGCTGCAGGAAGCAGTTGTCAAGCAGTATGGATGCAAAGGGTGCTAAAGAAGATTGGCTACATGGGCAGTGAGAGTATTGTCATCTTTTGTGACAATAGCTCGACAATTAAGTTGGCAAGAAATTCGGTGATGCACGGCAGGAGCAAGCACATTGATGTGCGCTACCATTTCTTACGAGAACTAGTGAATGATGGAGTTGTGCAGCTTCAGTTTTGTGGTACAAGGCAGCATATAGCCGACATTTTCACCAAACCGCTCAAATTGGAGCTATTTCGGGAGCTAAGAAAGAAGCTTGGAGTGTGTGAACTACCACATGTTAACTAGCTGCAAATGCAGTCTAGTTCAAGGGAGGGAATGATAAGTATTTAGTCAAATAAGAGACCTAGTTTTTAGGATAGTTTGTTGAATTGATTAAGTCAAGTTTGTTTCCTTATTTTTAGCTAGAAGTGGGTTATAACTTGCTACTGCATGTTCATTTTTTGTTTCCTATTTATTTTACTGCATTTCACAAAGAATAAACAAGTCATTCCCAATACTGTTAGTTGTTTTCTATTGAATTCTTATTGCATCTAACACATCCTTGTGCATTGCAAGGTTTAATCAAAATTATATATATACTTCATCAAATAAAAAGACAAGGATAAAAAGATAACTTGACTATTCAAATAAAAACCAGCTTTTTGATATTGATACTGTAGTAAAATAATTCAAATATTGAAACCTAGTATTATTTAGAGGTGGCAATTAAATCTATTAAAGCAAAATTCATTCAATCCATCCATCAAAAAATTCATCAAATCCATCCACCACATAAAAGATAAGTTAATGGATTGGATTAAATTCATCCATTTATATGCATGGATGGATTCAATCCATCCAACATATTTTAAGGATCTAATGGATTATTTTTATTTTCGTTAGATTTATTTTTTTAAAAATAATTAAAAATAGATTTTTTTAAAAATAATTAAAAATTTATAATTTTTTCAAAAAAAAAATCAAATTTTTTTCGAGAAAAACGATTTTTTTTTTCTGAAAAAAAATCGGTTTTTTTTCCAAAATAAAAAAATGATACTTTTTCAAAAAAAAAACTATTTTTTTTGTAAAATTTTTTAATAAAAAAAAATCGATATTTTTCAAAAATTAAAATATCAATTTTTTTCTTGAAAATACAAAAAATAATTTTTCAAAAATAAAATAAAATCAATTTTTAAAAATAAAAAAATATATTTATTTTTAAGAAATAAAAAAAAAGTTGGATGGATAGATATTCATCCATTAAAAAATGTTAATGGATGGATTGAATTGGATAATTTTAAGAAAATTTTAGTGGATTGTTAATGGACTAATGGATTGTTTTAATCCATCCATTAACAATCCAATTCATATCCATCCAATCCATCCATTTTGTCACCCCTAGTATTATTCTCTTTCCTTTTTCTTTTTTCCAATTAATCCAGACACAGCTTGAAACAAAAACATTTTTATAGTATAAAATACACAATATGCAGCAATTTATATAAGGATGGCACCTAAAACAGCATTAAGAATAGTTATTGGCGCAAAAAAAAAAAAGTGATATTTATTCTCTGGCTTCAGGGTGTTCTAAAATCGCAGAATGCAGTACATAAATGCATTATTTTCAAATTTCAGCCACCTTTTCCATGCAATCAGCATCTGCTGATACATTATTAAGATTCCTAAAGTGGTGGTATCACTTCAAAACCAGATTCTTACAAACCTATGCCGATGCATCATATAAAACAATTGATTGTCAAAATGTAGGTTAAAAAGGTAAGAAAATGAAAAAAACAAAAAAAAAAATAGTAATATCCATGAGTTGGCGTACAAACAAAATTTAATGTTTGAAGAGCTTAGAGCTACATAACCAGAAGAAAATAAAGAGAACTCAGCTGCTACATAGGAGCTGAGAAGCTGAACTTAAATCCAGTCTTCCCACGATCATGCTCATCCTTCCTAAGAATGTGGAAGTGGTTAACCTGAAACAACAAATATGCTGGTGAATAAATCAGAGAAAATTTTAATAGAAAACAAGCAAACGCCAAATCAAATGAGAGGCGAAGCGTTTAATTCAGTAGATTGTTTTCCCAAAATATGTTGCTATATTAAAATACAAATTTATACAACAGGTAGCTTCAGGAAAACAATACACCGTGGATCAGAACTGCATGCAGATAGTACTATTATATTTTTAAGAGCTCAGTTCAGAAATAATGCGAGAGAAGCAATGTGATTTCTAGCATACAATGCTCTATATATTTTCTCCATTTCCTCATGCTTTTTAAGGTTGTACAGATAAAAATAAGATTACCCAAAGTCATCTATACTTAGCTTACAATATGGACATTTTAACTTCAATTTCCCCCCACTTTCACAACCCTGTTTCCCAACTTTTGGTTAGTTTTATCTGCTTCATATATGAAAGATAAGAAATTAAAACTGAAGCTAACCTCTAAGCGGAAGAAACTAGTAGGAATAACAATTCCACATCCGACAGACAGCCGAAAGGAATCTAAGAACTTCCGAGGAGAAAAATGCATGTATTCGCTCTGAGTTAATTTAGCAGCATTCCCACAACCAGCAAATACGTGTGCATGTATTCCTTTCTCTCTCAACCACCTAATAGGAAGATCAAAAGAGAGGTCTGCAAAGGCAGTAACAGCAAGATCTCCCCCAATGAAGTCATGCATAGACGAATCACCACTGTCATCATTTGATTCATCTCTTGTTTGCCTCCGCAATTCAGCAGGGCCTACTCCCCTAGTTTTAAATCCCCATAATGTTGTTGGTCCTCCTAGGGTGCAAACTGGAGAGAAATCACCACCCAAATAAAACCTTTCGGGCAGGGGAGATGGCTTGGTCCTGAACCCTTGGCCCCATGGAAACACAACCCCAGCAGATATGCCAAGGTTCAGTGCTGTATTATAAAATCCAAAAGGGACAGCAAGGCGAGCATCAAACTCCTGCATTAGAAGAATTAACAGACATTTTGAGACAAAAAATTGTAATCAAGTGCAGAGAGAAACCAAATTATTGCAGCAAAATTGCCAGACAAAAATGCATATTTGTTACTGTGGCCATGGTCAGTGCCTTTAAGGCTATCCCGTGCCCAATCATTACTGTAATAAAAATCATCCAGTGCAACTCACCAGGAAAAATATTATGACCAGAGTGTGATTTTTATGATTAATTCCTTAATGGAAACTATGATTTTATTGGGTTACCTTCCTTTTTAACACTTTCCAGAGAGCAATCACAGGATTAGCTTCACTGCTTCGGACACTAGGTTATCATGGTTGCATATCCAAATTCCAAACTACTCATAATAACAAGGACTGTCATACAGGCCAATACCAAATGACTTTTTTCACTTTGACTTTCCTCAAAGGAGAGTCTTAGTGCCATGGTTAGAGTTGATACTGTGTGACTACTGACTAGAAGGTCACTAATTCAAGTTGTGGAATCAACCTCTCGCACAAATATAAGGTAAGGCTTCCTGCAATAGATCCACATATGGTCCAACCCTTCCCTAGAACCCCACCATGGTGGGATCTTCATAACACCAAAATACCATCTCTTTTTTTGTAATTCCACATGGATTTGCTAAATCTATGTTCAGTCTAAAATCAAAGTCATTAAGATGGGGAAAGAAAAGACAAGGTTAAAGCTCAATATAGTGCAAATACCTCCTAGGAAACAAATGACACTAAATATAAAACAGCACTTAATGCTAATTGCAGTGATAGGCAGTAAAAATTATATAAAACAATCAATTTTGGGGGAAGTTTGATTCCTTTATTTTTTGTTTTCTATATTATTATTACTATATCAATTTTAATCCAATGCCTCAACTAATCCCAAGAGCGTAGAAATATAATCATTATTATTTAACTTTGTAAAAGAGATAAACATGCTGTATAAAAGTTGAATTGTGTAGCATCATCCAATCACCTTAAATGGAACAGGAAATTGTTTCTACCAAAATGCATTCATCATATGGCTTCTTTTGACATATCATATTAGTTAGGGGTTGGGGTGCACAGAATAACTGGTTGTATGCTAAAACCCATATCTATATCCAAAACCATATTTAAAAATCCAGATTTCGGTAAAAAGGGTTTAATTTACCCATTTAAACAGAGTTGGCTTATCCAATTTTTCTATGTCCGGTATAAATTGGATGTCCAAATCCAGCCCATGGCCAAAGACTTTCTGACCAACTCTGATAGAGTCACAGGAGGGTTAGGTCAACAACAAGGGTCTAAAGTGTGGAAGGTGTATGTGAGAAAAAATAGAATGTATGGACCACTGCTGATGTGGCAGTAAGATCAGATTGGAGGGAGATGGGTAATGGCATTTTCTTTTATCAGAAGAGTAGAAGGTTGTTTCTGTTCCAACATTCATAGAGGTAATACTTCTATAATCTATTAGTCATCAAGGTTGATGATCGGAACCAAGAGTTAAATGGACCAGAGAATGATCCATTAGCCTATAAGCCAATGAAACCATCCATTTGAATATATATTCTACAAGAAAGCATGCAGGATAGAAATAACTGCCCTCGTGACCATTGTTTTAGGCCTGCACGTTTTCTCCTAAAATACACATTAAAAGGGTGGTTTAGTTGGGTTGTAGGTTGATGGATTATTGTTTGCCCATTTAAATCTTGGTTCTATTTAGTTTATCTTGGTGAAATAGCTAACCTCATGTGCTCCTCTATGAAGCATGCACACAATTAACAGCTGTTAATTAGAAGAAAAAATCACTGAGAACTTATTTTCCGAACATTCAATCATTTGAGGGTACTTCGCATCAACTTCCAGCAAAATTGGTTGTAAGGCAAGTGTTCCTCAAACCTTACGCGTGTGAAAGCCTCCCTAGACAATTGCACCAAATTGAAATCCTAGCATCTCACTCTCAAACAAACCCAATAAAGAAACATAAGGCTATAAATATTCAAATATCCAGTAAAGTTTTAGTACTGATACTTTTATGATTATGCACCAAGGCAGAGTAGCCAGGATCATTCTTTCTCCATAACCAACAAAACATAAGCTGAATGATGTCTGCATATAACAAATGACAGACAGAACTACAGATTCTCTTTTATGAAACAGGGTCTGAAATTTGCTTCCCTGACCAAGGAGATGAGTGCCTACCATACCCAAAACATCTATAGTTTGAACTTAATTTTCTGCTTAATAATTCATTGATTCATTTTCAAACATCTGAGCTGCACTGCACCAATTCAGAAATTCTAGCCTTTGCCAATATTTTTTTTCAATAACTTTGAAAGCACTGTCACTCGTTAGAAGGTTATTATACTTCATGCATGACACATTAAATTGTCGCGAAACAGATAAATTGAAGTCAGTAGAAGGAATAAATCTTACCTGGCGCAGAAACCGTGAGCTCCGGTGATCCGGTATAAGACCACCAAAGTGAGTGGTGGAAACAAAGGCATATCCTTTTGTAGGCCTAATAGGTGAATCTCTCCTATCAAATTTTAATGTATACTTCAAAGACGAGAGTAAACCGTGGCCCAGCTGTCTCCTTACAGATTTCGATGCCATTTGCAATGGATCTGTTAAGGTACGCCATCCAAGAGTGTATACTAAGTCTTGGTGCTTTGTAGATATCAAGTCAAGAGACATGCCTAACAACTGCTCTTTGTACGATGAAAACTCCTGCCAATCTTGAGAAAGCATGAACACTCGTGCCACAAGAGGAGTTAAAACCCCTTTGAGGCGAGGGGCATACACCCCTAAGCTCACCTCTGTCGCTTGGCTGCCACCATAGGCTAAAGAAGCATCCCATATATCACCATAACCAAAAATATTCTTATACTTAACCGTTCCTTCAGAAGTCCATGTACTAACCTACAAAAAGCATCACATAATTTCCACAGAAAAAAATAAAGAACACATTAGATTCTTTTTCTTTTCTTCATTCATACCTCATACATAAAAGAAAAAACTATTGAAATAAACACACATTAATCTTCTCACTTCTCAATCTCTCACTTCATACATTCCTTTCCCATATACATAAACACACGTATAAACTGCAAAACTTCACTATATTTGCATATGTGTCACTAGATTTCTAGAGTAACATTTCTCACACTGAGTCAACACATTATGAAGAAGAGAAAAATAAGAAAGTACCGAGGGTTTCATATAAACACCAAATCCACCAGAAAGTTTGCTCTCAGTCTCAACAACATCGACGATAACATTAGCAGTGCCTGGCAATTCTCCAGGTCCAGCTTCGAGCTTAACATTGCAAGAATCAAAGATGTCAAGCCCTTGAAGCCTTGAAATAGCGATTTGCGAAGCTTGCATGAGTTCCTGCATTGTAGTGGCTTTCTCGATTCCATTGAGTTCGGCTTCGATTATCCAATCCTTCGTCTTCGTGTTTCCGTTTATTATTACGTCGTGGACTCGGATTGGGACTAGCTCCGTTGTTAATCGACGGGAAAAGGCTTCCAGTCTGAAACGATGCTCTCGTAATTTGGATTCTGCGGATTGAGGAATTTGTTGATTCGATTCGTCATCGTCGTCGATTTCATCGTATTCTTCTTCTTCGTCTTCGTCTTCTTCGTCGTCGATGTGGTTGTTGTTGTTGGTTTGTGCGTCGGTGTTGGTGGAGTTTGGAGTGTGAGTGTTGGAAGGAGAGGGTTCTTCTTGTGTAGTTTCCATTTGATTTATGAGAGGAAGTTTCAATGTGGGATAACAAAGTTGAAGTTGAATGTGCGAGTAAAAGCGGGTCACAATGCGGCGGGGTCACGGCGGCGTAGAGAATAGGGAGGAAATATAATTAGTTACTAGTTAGGCCCATTTGATAGTTTAAAAAAATTCACAGTAAAAAATTCATAAACTAATTCGGAAATTAAGTTATTCGGATTAGTTTCTGGTAATAATTTTTTTATTTTTGAAAAATAAATTTTTATCATAGTTGAGCAAATACAAAATAGCTTATATTTTGTATAAAATGTTGTAAAAATTAATTTATAAATTATGGCCTAACAGACCGCCTAATTTGGGATTAATTTGGAAATCAATGACCTGAAAATATATTTAATGATGAAGTAGTGTTGATTTGAATTAAATTTTAAAATATATTTTTGTTCATGTTATTATTTATTTTAATAATGAAACTCAATATAATTTTTAATTGGGACAACTCAATATACTATTAGCAGTACTTAAACATCTCTACGAAAAAATCATAAATGTCTTTCCGTTCAAAACTATATTTTAGAACGCACTTAAACGATCGCACCACAATGTCTCATAAGTATGTTATCCTCATTTTGTCATAAATTAGATTAAAAGTATATCTCCATACTTATGAAAGTCAATAAATTAATCAACATATTGTTTATGATGTTTTTTCAAAAGTCTCATATGATATTTCACTACTTTCTTTGCATGCAAACCATATTGACTTGAGAGGTAAAATAAATATGTATTTATTCTTTTAAACACATGTGTTATATATTTAAACTTTTTGACAATGATTTATTTTTTGTACAGTACTTTGAGACTTTAAAATGCTTTAACCACGGTAAGAAGATTACGAAACTATAGAGTATGAAGAGCAATGATTTCATGATGTCATGCATCAATTTGGGCTGCAAGATGTATATATGATTGGTTATAATGTTATTAACCATGGTATATTGTTAGCTTTTGTGGAGAGATGTCACTCATAGACATCATCTTTTCATCTTTTGATTGGTGAGACGCTCATCACACTTAATGGGTGTCATCCCGTTATATCTTGCGATCAGAGGAAGATTATTAAACAACTCTAAAATCTCTAGACTTTAGGCACTAGACATAATGGTGCAATATTTGGGAACTAACCCAAGTGGTGCCCAAAAGGAGATGGATGACACCAGAAGATGTCATGCTAGATTTGCATTTCTGAATGAGTTGTATAAATATCACCTGGTTGTAGCAATGGAGGCCGATGGTGATGATGCACATGTTTTACACTATATACTACAACAAAAAGTATATTTCATAACGAAATTTGACTTCAGCAAAGTATTCATCATGGTAGAATCTATTTAATTGGGAGTATTCCTTTAATTTTCATTTCACTTCAGTCGAGACATTTGGTCAGTATATCAAATCATTCACAAGCCCTGATTATATGGTCCGTGCTCTTTGCATAGCAGGATTCAAGTTTTCAATTCAAGGCTATTGCAAGATAGAATCAGGTATGAGTTTAATTTCTTATGAGATCGATTCAAGGTTTTCAAATTTCATGCCTTCACAAATTCAAGATCCAAATTCAGTTCCACTTTATATTTCAATCTAATTCAAGTTTCAATTTCGTTTTCATCCAATTCAATTCCATTTCAATTTTCAAATTCTATCCCACACAAGTTTCAAGTTCATTCTAAAAATTAAATTCATTCAAGTTCGAAGTCTTTCAATTTCCAACTTCCTTTCAATTCCATATCATACACCACACCTGCTACTTTTCTCTCTTCACTCTCATCCTCATAATATCTTTCTTATCACCATTGAAACACCTTCAACAACAACACGAGCTGTGACACCAACTGCTCCTTCAAACACCGAACTCCACCATAAACCACCAGTCTCACAATAATCATCCCTTTCGCCTTATTTGTTTTCCGGATCCATCCTTTCCATCTTCATTCTTCTTCCAGCTTTTAAAACCACAATGAGCATCGCGATTAAATATGGATAGGTTAATGCTGAATTTGTTTCAAAAATGTGACATAGTTCGATTTCTGGTTGAGCTATATATGTGTTGTACATTTTGTTTGCTGCATATTTTCCTTGCCTGCACTTTCTATTCCATTCATTTTTGGTACACAAAAGAAAGGTTGTAGTAATTGGCATAACTTGATTCAATAATCAGTTTAAGGTGTTTATATTGTGTCATCATGTTGATGTCTAGAATGAATTTTTGAATTTGCAATTGGTGAGGTTGATGAACATCAGCAATTTTCGTAATGTCATGGGTTACGGATGATGAACAGTAGCCACATGTGTTTACTAAAAGTTAGATTTTCTTGTTTGCATGTGCATAATGTATAAAGACTCTTAACTTATAATACCATAAAGGATTACCTTTTTTTGCATAAATACACGTTGCCACAGTGGTCTATTGTTTATTTTGGTATGGATACTTTTTTTACATAAAACACAACTGATCCAAGTTAGAAGTTACATTTTTTTCCTTACGTCATGATTCCATTTAGGTATGAGAATGTGCTTTTGTTTATTCTATTTAAGAGTTTATTTCCATTTTGTTATGATAATGTGTTTTATTATTTTTGTTAAATATTATTTTGGCTTTAAAAAAAGTAAATATAGATAGTTTTTGTGGATTTGATTAAACAAGTGTTCATTCCATATTTGAATAATGTGCTTTGTCCATTTGTCATTAGTTTTGATTATTGTAAATTGTGCAACAATGTAAATACTATGATATGCTTAATAGCTGTTTGGTTTATTAATGCATTGCGATTCTGAAAATTTAATTTTAATATTAATTTTTGAAATCCATATAGACGCATAGATTTTATTGACGGACTATTTATAAAGTGGGCCTTACATTGAATTCACTCTAAACATATACCTAACTTTAATTTGCTTTTGATGTTGGTTTATTTCGGTTTCGTGGCTTAATTTTGGACCTTCTTACAATGACCTCTTTCTTTTTATGTGTTTACACATACTTATTTGATGGGCTTGCTTTTAATCGCCTCATTATATCCCCATTTGACAAATGTACCTCAATTCCCATAAAGTGCAATAACTTTATCGCTTTCTGTTTGATTGTGCTTTATTCAATTGTTAATCATTTCAAGCATCACCCAACATCATTTTCAAAATGATCCTCAATTCAATGTCGAGTCATTTTTCACCTTTGTAAGTCGATTGCCTCGTGCATCGCCATCAACCTTATTGGTCACTAAACACGACATTCATAGCTTACTTTTAGACTTTCTTACAGTGAGACCTATTTGATCAATTACTTCTAGTTGATTGTTTAGAAGACTAGCCCACTTTGCTAGTGCACATGATTAAAATTTAATTCAATTATTTTCCTTTACTTTTTTATTTATATGTTGTCTAGTATGAAGGTTAAAATTGAAACCCTAAGATACACACCATACCCAACTTGTAAGTCGAGCGTTTTTGCCTCGCCATCGACCTTACCTTATCTATTAGGACTTCTTTACCATTTAGATCAACCTTTAGCCGCTGCAAACGCAAAAGTTTAAACCTCGACCAATATCGAGCATTTTATCAAAGTCAACTTAATGAACTTAATTATACTTAGACCATATTTCAATAAAAGATGAAAAGCGAGTTGGAATGGAGTCTTCGATTTCTCTCCTCAATTGTTTGGGGCCGAGGAGCCTTTCCTACGCTCGAACAATTGTCTTCTCTAAAAGATTCATAACTCACATATTCAAATATATTCTCTCAATCGATTAGATAAAAAAGAGAGAGAGTCAAGCCTTTGACTCACTCTCCCGATTACTTAGGTCCAAAAATCTTTTCTTAAGCTTCGAGTAATTGTCATTTGTAACTTACTCTAGCTATATCAAAACTCTTTCATAATATAAGATGAAAAAGAGAGAGAGAGAGAGAGAGAGTCAAGTCTTTGACTCATTCTCCTGATTACTTGGGCCCGAGAAGCCTTTCTTAAGTTTCAAGTAACCCTCATCCATTTAAAATACTTTAACTATCTTCCATCTTTCAAAACACATTCCAAACGCAACCTCTTTTCGAGATGGAAAAGAGAGAGTCAAGTCTTTGACCCACTCTCCCGATTACTTGGGCCCGAGGAGCCTTTCTTAAGCTTCAAGTAATCGTCATCCAAACAAAACATCAACATATTAATTCAACTTCTCGCCATCGTGCGAACCGTCAAACCTTTTCATAAATGTGAGATATGGTGTCTTGAGCCGACGCAAAACATTGCTTCGTCCATAACCTATTTAAGTCGAGATAAGTGGTGTGTTTCCCATGAATGTTGATATATGGAAATCCATTCAAAATGATGCAAGCGTCCTCTCCTCACCCATTTAGGTAAAGCAATATTTTCTGTCGAATGCGACTAAGTATCTTTCGATAAATCAAACTAACAATTTGTATTCTGAACTACGAGCGCTCTAATTTCTCATTTGTCATTGAGAATACGTAGGCATAGGATTGTGAGATTCTAGCGAGCAACCTTTTCTTTTTTTCACCCTTAGTCCCACGATCTACGGATGCTCTGATTCTTCACTTCTTTTGAGTGAAGGTACGTAGGCACAAGGGCCCCAGTCCTTGACGAGCACCCTAATAAAAAACCATCCATTTCCCCTTAGAAATCTAAATCCTTTTACCTTACCTTTTCGCTCTATTCCCTTAGAAGAAAACAAACAATCTTAGCTAACATTTCTCACGAATCGAATCAAGAGGTTCGCGTTGAGTACAACAAACGTGAGGGGTGTTAATATCTTCCCCTTGTAACACCATTTTCTACCCTACAATTAGCATGGAAAAATAATACAGATATCAGAGTAAAATTATTAAATTTCATAAAAGTCATCAAAAGGGCGTACATTTCTCAAATCAACAAAATCGGTCAAGGCTCCGTAAATAACGAGTTTTCTCAAAATAATCAATTCGCACAAAGCAGCGGAACTCAAAGGCAT